TGTATGATGTTGGGCTTGTCTTCAAAGCATCTAATTCTTGGTTTCCTTGCCTTTAAAACAGCAGAAAAGAGTTGTTTATTACGAGGATTAAATTAGATCAGACGTGTAAAGACTTCAGAGCAGTACTTAGCATGTATTGAGCGCTCAGAATGTATTATTGTGTGAATGTTGTTGTGAATGTTGTCGTTGCCACAAGGAGGTACTATGAGGCAAGAAGAAAATCAGAAGGAACGTGAGAGTTCCAATAGAACTTGGCAAGCTCGTGTACTTGCCAGTGCGTCATTGCAATTCAGAGGCATGGGTGAGAGATCCAAGGAGACTCCAATGTCAGAACTGAGGGAAGTCCTGTCTGTGGCTTAGAGAAACGGGAGAGGTAGCGTTGCACTCTGTGCCTCAGCCAGTCCCAAGTAAAAATGCTAGTGACAAGTGCAAATGGCTTGCTCAGCACCTGGAAAGCCCGCATAGTGAACTTGCTCCCAGCTAGGTGCAGGCTCCTCGGGGTGAGCAGAGGTGTGAATGAAACAAGAGACCGATTAATTCCATGGCAACAAGAGCAGTGGAAGGCTAATTGCATTTCTAGAGGAGTCACAATCTGGCCACCTTCTTCCTGCTCCTCCACATTTATAGCATCAGGCTGCTTTGCATGCACTCCAAAGGCTGTTGGTGGCAGGCAGGATTCTAAGTCACCCAGTATCATGTGACACTCCTACCAGCCGGTAATCATTTCCAACACAGCTCCTCATTAAATCAGCCTGGCAGTGCTTAGATGCTTCGAATCATGGGAGATTCACAGAGACACTGACATGCTTGGGGCTGTCCATCAAAACAGGCTTTATTAGCAAACACCAAAAACAAGAGAATCCTTCCTGGACTCCACTCTGCACAATCAGATGAGGGCTGCAGCCACTACAGGTGTTTGAACAGTTTACATGATTTACAATCCTGGCAAGTGGTTTATTTTGTGTGATTGTTAGAGGAGTGAGGGAAAAGAGGGACAGGAAGAAGAGCTTCCAATTTTTCTTCTTTTTTCTCTGTCTTACAGACTCAGACCACCTGTCCCTGTGTTTGACAGTCTGCAGTGGCAGAAGTCACCATGATGATAAGGTTAGAAGCGAGTGGTTTTCCTGGTATGACCACAGTAACAAGTTTAGGCTGCGTCATTGTAAATCACGAAACTTTCAAGATGGGGAGAGATCTGGCAATCATTTCACTAATGAAGAGACGGGGGACCAGGAAGTTGACGTAGGAAGTAGAAAGCCACAAGGCCCCGTTTACATGTACTGTTTCTACAATACCTCCGCCCTGAGATGGTAATAGAGCCTTTACTCTCCTTTGGGGAAGCAGCCTTCCTAATTGTCAGTAAATATGGCTTAGGCAAGGCCAACCAAATCATGGGTGGGCCCTGCCAACAAGCTCGAAGGTCAGCACACAGCTCCAGGGTTGGCATAGAACCCAGATTGAGCCAATTAGTGTTTGGGTTAGATATGTCCTATTGACTCCAGAGAGGCTGATGACCTAAGTCCTGGAATTAATCAGGAGCTAGTAGAAAAGGCGATCTCCCTCCCCCATTAGGGTTACTGAGCTGGTAGGGTATCTGCTGGAACTGGGTCTGCTCTGGAGACAGCTTGCTAATGTTGAGAAAGAACCCATCTATCGATGAAGCCAACACAGCAGTCGACAGAGAAGAGAAACAAAGAAACACTACTGATTTTCCATGATATTGTTGATGCCCAGGATCAACCTCCAGAGATTTTTCAGCTTGAGACAGTACTCTTATTTATCCCTTTGTTCTTCCATTTGTTTTATTTGTTTAGTTTTAATTCAAGCCACTTTGAGATAAGTTTCTTCATTTGTAAACCCCAAATTTCTTGTCTGCATTAAAGCTAGATATTATGTCGTCAGGAAAGTCATGACATAGGTTTCTGTGACTTTTCTATGCAAAAATGTGTCACAACTTTCCTGAAGACCCAGTACATGGCAGTGCATCTGACGGCTAGGCCAAGGCTCTCTTGACTTTCTCATTGGAGAATCAAGGTAAAGAATAAGCAATGAGAGTTATCAAAGAATACCATTGAGCTGAGCTATTTAATCATGACCAAGAGATTGAACTTGTAGAATCTTAAGCAGAGATGACCCTAAGGTTTAGAGGCAGTGGGGCAGGTCACTACCAACAATATTATACTTAATTGTAATCCCCAGTCAGAAATGACCAGGTATGTAAAATGCATCTCTCCTGCCCAACTTCGTCCCTCCCTTATTAATGTGACCTTGCAGTTCATATTTACCCTGTGTTCTAGATTTATATTTCTGCATAACACGCTACCAACAGGCAGTGGCTTAACACAATTGTAACTGTTTCCTTTGCCAGCAATTCTAAGGGTTGACTAAGCTCAAGTAGTCCTGGAAACTCATGTGGTTGCAGTCAGAGATTGGCTGGGCTTGAGGTCATCTCTAGAGCTTCTCACCAAAGCATTTGGTACCAGAGTTGGAAAGAATTGAAGAGGTGGCCTGAAACAGCTGGGAGTCCTTTGGCATTTCCTCAGCTATGTGGTGTCTCCAGGTGCACCGCATGCGTGGCAGCCCCCGTATCACTGAGCTGCTTACAGGGCTCCTCAAAGTACCCAGCCCAGATGTTCTGAGAGTTATCAGCAGAAACCGCATGGCCTTTTCTAACTTTGCCTCAGAAGTCATGTGGTGTCACTTCTGCAGTCATGAAATTTGCTAGGCACAAAGATAGGGACAAAGACACCATATTTATTAAAGACAAGTTAGCACATTTTAAGGAATTTTTTTTATTGAGTTGTCAAGAAAGTCATAATTTATTTTTGCATAGAAAAATGTAGAAAAATACATCATGATTTTGAAAAAAAAATAGACTCAGAATGCTGCAAAATAATAGTGTTTTATGTGTTCTCTACTCTGTCACCTCAATGGTAACATCTTATATAATTGCAGTGCACTATCAACACCATGAAACTGATATTTGAATATTAATGTCAGGTAGATTACAGATCTTTTCAGTTAATACCATTTTTTATCGGAAAGATGTTTTATTTTTAAAATTATTTTTATGTACATTTAATTTTACATATTCATGGGGCACAATATGGTTTTTCAAAACATGTATGCGTTGTGTGATAATCAAATCAAGATATGACCATATTTTCCTTCTTCAACAAATATTACATTGTGTAGTGCACCTTCAACTTTTGTGTTACTAAATTCCTTTTATTTAGCTACAGAAACATATGACTGGAAACGCCTTTTTTTTTCTCAGTCTGCTGTATTCTGTTCCATACCACATTGGCCTTGTTTACACACATTCTTGTGTCTTACCTGTTTTTTGCTGAACCCCTTCCCTTCTTACTTCTCATCTCCCATGCAATCTCTGGTATCTACAGTCCGATTTTCCCATTCTTTTAAAACCTGCAACCATTTGGGATATGTGTGTTTCTATGTAATCTGACTCTTAGCTAGATTCGTCTAACTGCCACCACTATCCACATACAGAACTGTTCTGTTAACTGCAGAATTCCCTCATATTCCTTCTTTGTATTCACACCCACTCCATCTTACTTTCCACACCTCTGTCCCTAACAGCCTCCAATCTGTTACATGACTCCATAGTTTTGTCATTTTTTAAAGAATTTTTGATTTAGCTTGCTTGCTTTATTTATTTTTTTAATTTTAATTCAACCAGAGAGGGACAGAGAGAGAAAGAGAAAGTGAGAAAGCAAGCCGCCAGTTTCAGGATTTGAACTGCAGTCGGCCACGTGGGTGTCCAGCATCCTTAACCACTACACCACCTGCTAGTCCCCCATAGTTTAATCATTTTGAGAATATTACACATATGACAGCGTACCATATGCAAACTCGACATGGACTTCTTTTTCCTAAATGTCACGTCATGGACGCCCATCAAGGCTGGAGCACCTATCAACCATCTTTTTAGTGCTAAGTTTCATCCACTATGTAAATGTACACACAGTCTCCCATACTGAGATTCTGAGATGACCCTTTCTAGAAGCAGTATAGAATTGGGACATCCGTTTTCTTTGCTTGCTTTATTGTCTAAATTGTTTTGACTGTCACTGTATTTCACTGGGATATTTAGACCATTTATAGTTAAAGTAATATTGATATTATAGGGCTTAAGTCTGACAAGTGATTCTTTGTTTTCAGTGAGTCCTCCTTCTGATTTCTCTGTTTCCATTTTCTTATCATGTGTTATTTGAACACTTTTTAGAATTCCTTTCTTATTTCTCTCATGATTTCAAATGCATTCATTTATTTAGTTTTTATATTGATTACTTATATGTGCTTTAAAATCTATTAGGTTTCTTACAGAATTTAGCTAAGTTCATCAATACTTAAATTGTGCTACTAATTTCAGTGAGTCTGTGCTAAATATTGCAGTCTAAGATCCAATTTAATTTTTCATAGCTATGTGCTAAGCCAAAACGGATTCGCACTGTGGGTATGCCATCTTATTTTCATCTTGCACTGTAAACGACCCAGCTCTCATCTCCCTGGTCCAGAGAGATGAGAGTGATGGTGTGTCCTGGGGCTAACCTAGGTATTGTCCACACAGACAGTGAGAAGGAAAGTGAGAAATCACCCCCCTAGAGGACAGCCACACCGCAATCTCTTCTCTTCCATTCTCTTCCTGGGATTTTGGCATGCGCGTACATGTGCCTGATGTGGCTTTTTTTTTTTTTTTTTTTTTTTCCCCCCGCCTTTTTTTTTTGGCCCCCCCGCGCAAAAGCTGTTGCCACTAGGAATTCCGCCTTTCCTTGTGCTGCTCTTCCTGTTTCTCCCAGCTCTGCAGAGCTGGCTCCCAGGAACACAGGCCTTGGTCCGAGCGCTCCGGGAGCAAAGGGCCGGGGGAGTCCCAATGGCTCTGCGGCCGCCTGCCAGGAACCGCGCCTGCACAACGGAAACCCCGAGGCCCGGCATGAGCGCTCCCACCCTGGGCCGCGGGGACCCCGGCACGCCGCGGAGTTTATAGGAAAGGCGAGTGGCAGCTGCAGGTACGGTTTGACCTGGGCTGTCAAAGTCCCTCCACGTTGCTCTCTCATGCAGTTGGAGAACCCTGCCTGATGTGACTTTTAAGCCACAAGGCATGGGACTGAAACCACGGCCGTCCATGTGGCAGCCCAGCGATGTAACTACTGTACCACCTGCTGCCCCCTACAGTAGAGATCTGATAGCAAACCAGTGTGCAGTGAAATGTAACAGCAGACAGGAAGCACTTGGAAACCACTGCCAGGTTCACAGTAGAGGCTGAGAACTCCCAGACTGTATTTAGTTCTGAGTTGCTGTTGCTTACTTTTCGCAAGTGTCCATGAGTAGAATTCTGGATAAAATAATTGTGGGTGTAGGTACTGTCCTTAATGGACCACTTTAAGTGTTTTTCCCATTTTGAAAATACAGAGTTTCGATTACATAGAAAGGTGAAGAGGATATTATAATAAATCCCCTCTCTCCATTACCCAGCCTGAGTAAGTGTTTTTCAATCCTGCTTTACCTGCCCACCAGGTCTCACTTTGGCTATCTTACTGTAAATCAAATTCCAGACAGTGGCGTTTTGTGTATCCCCAGCCTGCACACATCTCTGACAGACAGAAGCAGTTTTTGTTTCCTTCGTAGCCTCTGTTCCCATATCTCATCTAACAACATTTATAATAAATCCTTAATATCATCTACTATTAAGAGGGTTTAAAAAGTGAATTTGATAATGCATGATTTTCATCTCAGCTAATCACCTTACCTAATACCCATGGTGTAAAAGAATGATCAAAATCTATTAAGGAAAATAAGAGTAATAGGGATGAAAGCATGAGAGTGAAAACAGACCCACAGAGTAAGAGGGAGGCCTTGAACTCCAGACGAAAGGCATCTAAAATATCTGGAGAGTGAGGAGGAAGAGCAGCCATCTCCTGGGTACAAAAGAGTTCTTGTCTGATGACCTACCACACACAGCGCTCGCCACGCTCACTCCCAGATAGCGCGCACAGGGCACTCATACCCACAGCAGAATCCTGGCAAAGGTGCTTGCTTTTTCTCTGCGAAGAGTGATGGTACTTTATGGATGAAACAAGATGCCTGCCAAAGAAAATAGGATTTTTGCCTCTAATTGTAACAGCTTAATAACATAAGGGGTAGGCCACAGAACTTTTTAAAATTCTGAGCTGATACAAACTTGCTGCTGGGTTGCTGCCAGCCCACCACACCTGCACATTTCCCCGCTAATATTTCAAAGTGTCAGTTTAAGTGGCCTGGGAGCTGCTGCAGAACTGTGGTAATTGCTGAGATATGCCGAGACCAGCTGAGATAATAGGGTGCCAAGAAGCAGGGGAAAATGTCAACAGCCGGGGTTCATGCTACTAATTTTGTTTTCTTTAAACTTCATGCAATGACAAATTCCACTAAGAGCTAATCTGAAATTATACTCTTACCAGTTCCTTTATTTATTTCTGAATGCATGCAGTTGGTCAGTAAATGCATAGCACACCTGCATCAAAGGTATGGCCACTTCCTCCTCCTGCTCTATGGTGGGCATCACAAATGCTGTCTGTGTGCAGGCTGGCTCTGCCCTCGGCCACCTCTCCTTCGCGCTAACCTCCAGCATCTGCCATCTGCGAGGAAGCATAGTTGGCATGTGATACAAAATTAGTTTTCTTTTTCTACTGGATTCTCGATACTGTTTGAGTCAGTCTGGGAAAGGGAGACAAGCAATCGTGTGCTGACCATTCCCATGACTGTTTTGTCTTATTGTGTACAGATTAAGTGACACACAGCTCTGAACCCGGCAAAGGCCATACCTGTTTGTATTTTAGAACAAAGCATGATACTGGAAACAAGGAAACTGATTAAAAATACGTACTAAGAATGCAATGGTTGGGAACAGCAGTTGGCGTAATGGCTATGTAGCTGGACTCCCATGTAGTTGACTGCGGTTCTAGTCCCGGACCCGGTGGCTTGAACTCACGCAGGGTGCTTGTGCATGCGTGCCCAGGATTCCGAGAAAAGGATGGAGGAGAAGGGATTGTGGCATGGCCATCCCCCCGGGGGGTGATTTCTCCCATTCTGTCTCTCTGTCTCTCTCTGTCTTTCTGGTGAGCGCACGTGCCCTACAGCGAAAACCTCTCAAAAAAAAATGCAATGGTTAATTGAACAAAAGAAACATCACATGGTAGCTGAATCCAGAAACCCAGATGGATAGATGGATATGCAAAATAAGGACAATAATAACAATGGCAATATAAAATAATAAGGAGGCTGATACTTACTGGATGACTTCTTTACGTTTATTTAGGTATTTCTCCAGAGAGAGAGAAAGAGAGAGAGAGGGCATCCCCAGCAGGGTCTTGACGCTATGATTTCCCACCAGTCTTGAGCCAGACTCAGGTCAAAGGCAAGCATATTGCAGGCATAGTCAGGGAGGGCTTCGGACTTGAACCAGGAGCCTTCCCAGGTGAGATTGCTTAGCAGAGTGCTATATTCTACTGCTGTGCTTCCATACACCCCTCTTGACCCCTTGAATAATTTCTCTAGCCAGGTACTGTGCTAAAATATATTCACGAGCAACCTCTTACTGCTTGCAACCACGGTTAGAAATAAATACTGTTCTTGGCTCCCTTTTTCCAGGGGGAGAAACTGAGGCTTAGAGAAGTTAAGCAAATTGCCCGAAGAGCAATTAGGCAGTCTACCTCCTGCATTCTTATCCTATCCTCTGTAGCTTACTGGCTCTTCTGTATAAAATGATTCGTAGATTTTAGGTGATCATTTTTCTCTCTCTGTCTTTGTAAAATATATCTTACATGGTCCTTCCCTCCTGGGTTTAAGAACATGCTATGTAATTTCACTTCTTTTACTTTAAATTCAGGGCATGGGGGAAAATTAGAGCTTTCCACAGAAAAGATAGCAGATGTGTCCCAGGAAGAAATTTCAGAGAAACCAGACTTGGCAAGAAAAAGTAAGGCACTATAGCAAGTGCTATCCCTTTAGGGTTTTTCAAGTGCCAAGGCATGGGTTAGAGTCACGAGAAAGTAATAAAAGCGTACACTAGAAACAGATGTGCAAAGGAACATAGATTACCGCTTTAGGGAAGCTGGTTCCAGAGATAACTTGCTAAATAACAGCAGAGGTCCATTTTATGGCTTTGTCTTTAAAAACCCTCTGCATTTGGCTGAATCACCAACAGAAATAGAGTTGATTTAAGGGGTGGGGTTTCTGGAAGTTTAAACTCAATATGATCCTGAGATTTTAGATTTTTCTTGAACCATCTGAACACTGGAAATTTTCTTCTATCTGTTCTATACTTGAAAACATACACATGTGTATTTGAAAACACATATACACATGCATGCATATATGAATATACATAATTATGTAGATATAAATTATATGTGTGTGTGTTTTCAAACATCGAATATATATATATATACACACACACACATGTATATGTGTATACAGATGTTTGTCAACTTATGATGGTGTTATGGTCCCATAAACCCTTGTAAGTTAAACCTATCATAAGTCAAGAATGTATTTAATACACCTAACCTAGCCAACTGTAGCTTAGCATAACCTGCCTTTAACATGCTCAGAACACTTATATTAGCCTACAAATCACACAACATTAAGTCTATATTACCATAAAGTGCTAAATATCTCATCTGACTTATTGAATACTTCATTGGACGTAAAAAACAGAATGGTTGTATAGGTGCTTATCTTTGCCTCATGGAAAAATCAGAACATTGTACATGGAACCACCTTAAGTTGGGAACCATCTGTTCATACATATATAAATACCGCCTTTCTACACGTATATGCAGTTATGCATCACTTAACAATGGGGATGCATTTTCTCACAAGGCTATATAGTTTAGGTGTTGGCTGGAGGTGTGGTCTCATATGCAGGTTGAAAGGGGGAAGCATTTGCTTCCAAGCTGATGCTCATGGCTGTTGGCTGATTGTTGGGCTGAGGACCTCAGTACCTCAGTGGATGTTGAACAGAGATCTGCATTAATTATCTGCCATAGGGGAGTCCACAACATGTCATCCAGCTTCCTGAGGAAAATAAAAGAGAATGAAAAAGAAGAAAGCCAGAGTCTTTTTTAAAAATCAAACTTTTAATTTTTCAATAACTGTAATTTTCATGAGACTGTAAATTACATGTGAGAAATGTGTTTTTAGGTGATTTCATCATTGTATGAGCATCGTAGAGTGCACTTACACCACCTAGATAGTGTAGCACACACCTGTGCTGTATTGTGTAGCCTGATATAATCTTATAGGACCGTCATGATAAAAGTGGTCCCTCATTGACCAAAATGTCATTCCACAGCATATCATGTGTGAATATACATAATATAAGCATTAAAGAAATAAAATTAAGTATGTTCTCTTTGATAAGACCTGACTACAATTACAAAGAGAGAAGCTGTTTCATGCTCTTAATATATTTTAATTTATGAGACTAGGAGACATTCAATGAATTCCATTATTGAAAACACAGTAACAAGACAGGTTTCCCTTTTCAATCGCTTGCCATTGAATGATAATGCAATGACATATCCTGCCATCCAGTGTTAACCTTAGTCTATTTTCTTATCGGTCTACCTTCCTACATTGCTTTTGGTAAGAAAACATGCTATTTCTTTCAGTATACTCATACAGAAGTGGTTATATTGGATAGATAGATAGGATTCTATGCAACCTGTCTTAATGAACTCTACCTATTGCAAAACCTTTTTGCCTGAGGAACTGTTTTTACTAGACTGTTGTTCTAGTGAGGCTTGTAAAAACTTAAATCACACGCTGGTATTTGGAGCTGTGGCATAAGAACCCTACATAATTTCTGGAAGGAAATGTGCTTAAGTGATCTATACTCAAAATTTAAATTAGGGAGACCAATCAAATCACAGGGATAGTGAAAATAATGGAATTGCTCAGGTGAACTTGTCTTGAATAATAAAAAGATGTTTTTGCCGATGGAATGGGCTAAGTATAAACACTCTAAGTTCTGTGGAGAATCATTGACTTCCACATGGCATGTGGCTAATTCTGGGAAAGGCTCACCATAAGCAGTGGCTGTAGGCTGAGCAACCATAACTGAGCATT